ATTTAAAAACTAATAAGGTCCGAAACTAATTCAATGCCGACCTATTAACCAGTGAGGTTAGTTGTTCACTAACGTAAAATAAAATCATTGAATTTTTATTCATATAAAATTACTGCTAAAAACCTCGATGATATCAATAAAATCATCCATTCAAGCATTTAATTACATCGTTGTTTTAAAAAATATCGTTCATCGATCTTTTCATCATCGTGTTCCGTTTTTAATACTCGTATTTTTATACAAAATTTAAACAGAACATGAATAAAAGACGCTGAAAAATAAATACCGTGAAACGGTTAGTGTTGGTAAATTCAGAAAAACCTTTGTGTAATTATCAATTTGTTTAAACATCCTTAATAAACAATGACTAAACTCAAATAACTTTAAATGTACAAGTTCACCAGATTCATGTTGAGCGTTTCTACTGTTTCTAACCTGGAGATAACTTCCTATTGCGTCATTCTATGAAACCAGATAAGATGCTAAGAATCCCGTCGCGGTTATCCTGTGCGATTGGCTTAACACGTTGACTACGATTGCTTCATCTTGTACTATTATTTCATTTTTGTACTGTTTTTAAACAGGGTTGCCAGACGGTCATTATTTCCGGACAAATTCCGTTATTTAGTTTTTCTCAATTGCGTTGGCCAGCTAAAATTTATGATAAGGGTGCTTCCTAATTAAATTTTATATACTGCAAAAAGAAAATAAATAGAATTTTTATAACGGAACCTACAAATAAACTAGTATATATTGAGTCATTGGCTTTTTTTGGCCTTTTTTGTTCTCGGATTTAGCCGATTTCAGGCAACCTGAATTATGTACCACTACCTCCTGAAGAAATACATTTCGTGGTACGCATATGTACCACTTCGGAGTCAACTTGTTAAGGTTTTCCGAGAATATCCGCCGACAAAGCATAGCTTAAAATCTCCAGTACAGAGGAATCTATTTCAGGTCGGCGCAAACGTTTCCCAGAATATTGCAGAGTTCGTATCTGTGGCCCAGCTGTGGCTGCCGGTCCCGACGAGAACAAGTGCGTCTATAAGTGCAAGCGGCATGATGGCATCCAACCTCAGTTGCCAGCTGACCTTGTGGCAGAGTGCGTCGCTGTAAACGTCGGTAAACAATTCTGCTATCCCTGCATATTTTGTAGTGTCACTTGAGTTTGTCGCAACAAAGTTTTAAAATTTGAGCTGACGATGTGTAACACTGCGATATCTATTGGTTATTGTCCGTTATTTTATGAACTAAATGAACATTTGCCTGTAAAAAACTGCGCTTCTGTGATGAGAGTTGAGCCACTCGTTTGGTCAGGACAAGTTGTTACATCAGGATCTGTGGTTGGTTCATTACTCTATCGTATCATTCATATCATTCCTTTATTAAGAATATGATTGAATTTTACCTCGACTTCAACCAGCAACTTGGTTGTTTCAAATAGGTTCGCATTGATCTCAGTTTATCAACTTCATTTCTTCAGTGCATCTTACCGCTCACGCACCATCGTAAGGCGTTGGTGCGTGCCACACATAGGAATGATTCATGGTTTCATGAATCATTCCTATGGTTCATATCTTGAACCGTAGGAATGATTTCGGTTCATGTCAGGACTTATAGTAATTCACGTAACCATTGGGTCAGTTCAGACCGGTGCATTCTGCGCTTCCACCTCGACCGTTCCGATGCAATTCTTTGTAGTGAGTCATCATTAATTAAAACATCGGGCGTACTGTAGGTACCGTGTCGGTAAGCAGGTTGGCACAAACCACAATGCAAACTAACTCGTGTAATAGATCACTGCCACCTCTGTTTAATAATGTGGAAATTATCACTTGATCAGTTGATTAATTACTTGAATTCCATTAGGTGAAATCAAAATTCTTAGTTATAATAATGTCTCATGTTACATAAAAGTAAGGGTGTACCGCAATATCACTATATTTGGTCTTATCTCTAAATATTATTAGTTCAGTGTTATTTCTAAAGATCTGAATGTTGATCCGGTGACATAACTTCCCTGCGACAGAAACCAAGAGTCTTTTAGCGCTCCAGCTAAGTTGCCAAGGCCTTTGATGCTGTCTCAGGCAATTTTTTTCTATTTTTTCTTTTCCCGGCGTGAAGGCAATGAGATCAATTAGCATTTTTTATCACTTGTGATAACGAAAAAATTTTAAATGATATCGTGTCTGGAATATATTTCGTCTATGAAGATAATTTTGTTTATTTTGAATGGATCGTATTTTTTTTTGGGGATCGGAAAGCGTACGGGCTTGAAAATATTTCACACCAAATCAAAACTAAACAAACAAGGACTGATGCCTAAACTTTGTGTCATTGGACAGTTTTGATGTTCAAAGATGTAAAATGTAATGAGATATTATATATCATCTAAATCATAACATGTTCCTCAAATTCAGTCGTTGAACTGGCAATAACCATCCGAATTTTGCAAGGTTTCTGTCGTACTCACAGTGTTTTGTCACTATGGTCAACCATAAAGCAGCCCTATCGCTTTCTGCATATTATTTTATACATTATCGAAATCGAAATCTACAAAATGGTTGTTGGTTGGAGAAGTATTTCGAAGTGTGTAAATGGTAAGTAGATATTAGCTCAAAAATTATTCCATGTGCCGAAAATCGAACAATCCATGATCGGTATGATAAGGTGAAGATTTGGTCATTCCGAATCCAAGTTGTTCTCATATAATGGCGTTTAGTCGACACACAGAATAAACGTTGGAAGAAAACAAGGTTTTTCTCCTCAAAGATTTGTTGTGCGCATTACGGAACCGAAAAATTCGTGAGAAAGCAACACCGATGCAAAGTTATCCTGTGAAAATGTTAGTTTGCAATGTTCCTGTGTAAAATATCTGTAAATCTGCATGGCACTCAATATACGTATGTCCTGCGCGGCTAAATCATTATACTCAGTCATAGGTAGTGACTCATTTGTAAATATTACAAAAAATAGCACTACAAATTGCAGTAATATTCTTCGTGTACGTTCCTCGAGATAAATCAAGTTCATGTTGGTGCGATCAAAACGTTCCGCAGCCAAAGAATGCATATGGTGGCAACCACATGTCGCTATATAGAGGCGCCAGCGACGTTACGTCATTCTTATAGGCGCCAGGATATCGCGAGATGCTGAAACGCATTAGTACAACAGGCACGGCGCGTTCTTAGCAAATACGTTTTATTTGCTTTCCTGCCTGCACGCACTTAAAAAAAATTAGTTTTCTCTTGCTGTAAAAGGAACTGCCATAACAGAAATAGCTTCGTATCAGTTGTTAGTCTCATTTAAATCCAGAAATGGTATTCTGAAAAAGGCGAAATTTTTCCACTGTTATGAGCTCGTTGTGAACTTAGAGTTTGAATAATTAACCAACTGGCTGAAGTAGTTTCAGTAGTGAATCACCAGTTCACTTTATTGCCTGAGTATCAAATCATTGCGATAAGAAAGTATTATAAGTAATTTCACTGTCGTAGTCCATATCCATATCGATAATACATTTAAAATATTTAAAAAAGCATAAAGTATGAAAAGCATATAGCATATATTAAATAAACATAGAGCATTTTCAAATCCACAGCAAAAATATACTTAAACACGATGTTATGATTGCCCATGTTATGTTTGGCTGCTTAGTTATAATTTTATTTGCTCGAAGCAAATTTTCCGTCCGATCTTTTTCTAACTTCTTTTTACTGCGTCCGCTCGTCTGCTGGCTGACGTCACCGGAAATACCGTCTACATATGGATGGTCAGAGCTGAACGCAGTGTTGTGAAGGCAGATCAATTGTCTCAATAGCTGTTACTATTGGGACAATTTTTGTAAGCTGTAAGTCACTTTTGTTTATACACGATTCGGCAAAACTCGGTCAAATATATTAATTTATCTTATCGTAGAAATCAGTGTGGTTAACGTTGATTAATGAAGGAACGATGTTTCGTTCCAACGCTAATGGGATGAGTTTGTTATATATTGTACACCATTTTCAGGAATGATAGATTCGGCCTACAATATGAGAAATAGTCTACTTGCTAAGAAACAGTGGTTTTTATACCCATTATTTTCTTATCGATACCATTTAAGTATTAAAATCACTTGTTTGCTTGAATCGCAAGTTAACCAGGAATTTAAAAGCAAAGAAAATACCACAAAAATTCACCATATCTTTATAAGAGAAAACGTTTCGGAGTCCAGCTCCATCGTCAGTTCAAACCACAAAATTCTGTTCAGAAAAAGTTCAGTCCTAGAAACACAAATAAATCAATTAGTAAAGTAAATGCACTAAAAATAAATAGATAAAACATGAAAATAATGCTAGTAAACGTAAACGGCCTATCTATTTACTATTTCAAGAGGAAAGGAGCTAAAAGCAGCATTCAGACTAGGCTTCTGTTTGAATATATACAGGGATTCTTATCCACCTCATTCTGCTGTACGTGTTCATGCCGAGCAGTGCAACACCTCTGTATCTGATAGTGATTTCAAAATTCTAGCTTCCGCATCCGGTGTTTGTGATCTACGAATTTTAGAATCCCTGTATATATTCAAACAGAAGCCTAGTCTGAATGCTGCTTTTAGCTCCTTTCCTCTTGAAATAGTAAATAGATAGGCCGTTTACGTTTACTAGCATTATTTTCATGTTTTATCTATTTATTTTAGTGCATTTACTTTACTAATTGATTTATTTGTGTTTCTAGGACTGAACTTTTTCTGAACAGAATTTTGTGGTTTGAACTGACGATGGAGCTGGACTCCGAAACGTTTTCTCTTATAAAGATATGGTGAATTTTTGTGGTATTTTCTTTGCTTTTAAATTCCTGGATACCATTTAATTGATGCCAAAAACAAAAATTATTTCGCGCATGTTTTTACTTATAATTTTTTGAGCGGTTTCGATATTGAACCAATTCCCGGTACGATTTTGAAAATTTATTAACATTAATTAATGGATTACTCGACAAATTTGATTTCCACAGAAGTTTCTTTTCGGACAGGTTTGGTTTCAAAAACCTTTGATGTTGATTTATTTCAATAACCACTTCTAGTTTTGCGAAAAAAGCTCCTATCGAGCAGGAAGAATGGGCTTGCTGAGGAGATCGCCCAGTGGGGGTAAGGATACTATACGTGATATAATAATAGAGTATGACTATTGTTGAATCATAACTTACCGCCTCCTTTTCCATGCGCACCGGTATTTTTAAAATAAATACGTGTATTTTTTAAGCGAGTTTCTAAGTGATGAACTAGGTTTTGTCAAACCCACCTTCAGTTTAATTGAACGTATAAAATAACAGGCTCCGCTGCAAAAGCTAGTTAGTTCTTACATATTTTTTATGTGAATATCAGGCTCCACCGCAGGAGCCATTTGATTTGTATATTTTTATGTAAATTATATGCTCCACTACAAGAAAAAATTTTAATTCGTGACATTTTTTAATGTAAATAACAGGCGCCACTATGATAGCCATACCGTCAACTGACAGCGACGGAGGGACAGAAATGACAGCGCTCACAGGCAATAGACATTCTTCGTATCTTCGATTTGGCAGGTGAGAAATTTTTTTCGTTGGTGATGATTTTATAAATCAACAAGCCTCATTTGTTAATTAATTGTTAATTGGTATTAATTAACAATTCATCCAATCCATTCCAATTTGTTAATTGGCATCGGAATGAATCGTACTTCTTGTGTTACTTCGATTGTCTGGATTGGAGGAGACTTGATGTTACTTTAAACTAATCTGGAACTACACATTAGAAAACAATAAAAAGTTTCATTTTGAAATTGTCTTACAATTAACGTATATACGAGCATGACCCTTGATGCTGACGTTTGTTTATTATCTAACAATTATTTTTCACTTTGGATTTGCAAGAAACAAAATTAATAAAATTGGCTTTTGATTCATTTTGTTGGCATGGAATTCAAAGTTTTGTGAGATGATCGGATCAGATATAAAGAAATGAGGTTTTAAAGCATTTAGAACGGTATATTGCTTGTTGGTCTTTGTACATACAAATTAACTTCAAAATTTTTTTGCCTCAATGATACCATTCATACGAACGTTAATCAAAATTTGTGTTGCAAATCTTTTTGCCTCAATGATACCATTCATACGAACGTTAATCAGAATTTGTGTTACTTCTAAAAAGGCAAATTTTTTAGTTATTTTAGTTATTTCGGACAACAATTCGGTCCCTGATGTCGTTTATAAAATCAATACCTTTGCATGAATTGCAATAGGCGGTTGAAACACGAGAAAAAAAGAAGAACTAAAGAAAAATTTACGACACGTTCAATCTAAAAATGTTTATCATTCAATTAATTTAATTTAATTTATTCATGTTCAAATTTGTTGGTTACTTTCTATTTGATCTGTTATTAATTGGGTTATTCTAAATGTTGGACCCAATTTTATGAATTTGTATTTATTTAAGTATGAATTCAAAAAGAATAATTGATACACCAGTGGAAAGAGAAATATTAATTTTTTACATGTTCATAAATGTTCAATATCTCCCCCTTGTGCTGCACGGCAAACATCTAAACGGTAGCCAAACTCGTCCCACACACTAGAAAGCATATCTTCTGTCACTGAGTGCACCGTAGCTGTGATACGGTTAAGTTGCTGGTAGAGGCGGGACGTAAACAGAGTTGCTGGTAGAGGCGGGACGTAAAGAGTTGCTGGTAGAGGCGGGACGTAAACAGAGTTGCTGGTAGAGGCGGGACGTAAACAGAGTTGCTGGTAGAGGCGGGACGTAAAGAGTTGCTGGCAGAGGCGGGACGTAAACAGAGTTGCTGGTAGAGGCGGGACGTAAACAGAGTTGCTGGTAGAGGCGGGACGTAAACAGAGTTGCTAGTAAAGGCGGGACGTGAACAGAGTTGCTGGTAAAGGCGGGACGTAAACAGAGTTTCTGGTAGATGCGTGATGTAAACAGCTTCATTGACGTAACCCAATAAGAAATAGTCACATGGGCCTGAAGTGTAGAGCCAGATCTTCATTTACGAGTCCTACGCCAGATCTACGAGTCCTATCAAACGCTCAGGAAGTGACTGGTTCAAAAAGTTTCGGGCATCAAGATGCCAATAGGGCCGTCCAATTCCGCGTTTGAGTCGGTTTAAAAAAATGAAATCTTTCTCTTTCCATTGGTTTTTTTTAATTATACACATTAAATTTATGCCTAAATAAATACGAATTTATTAAAATGGGTCCATCATTTAGAATAACCCTGGATTACTTTTGGATATAAAAAGGAGGATTCCGAAATTTCTACGAAGGCTGATACCTGAATACGTTGGAAACGAATCCGTGTCCAGCACTTTTTTTGTTTCAACTCTAATTGATGAATTAAAAGTTATGAACAAACTTACCTTGGGTATAACTTGAACAAATTTTTTTCACGAATATTTTGGTGAACGATAATCTAAAAAGGATTCACCATAGATTATCATTCACCAAATATAATTTGGTGAATGATAATCTAAAACAATGCTTTTGCCGAATGAAGTATTTCTTTAACCTTCATTGGTATGCTTTGCAATGATGTTCATGCAGTAAATCTTATTCATATGAAAAACCTCGCCTGGCCTTTCGATTCTCTGACTATTATTTTTTATCTTCTTATGCTCAAACTTATCCTCTATTTCTTGTCCTCAACCTAGAAGGGGATCCATCAATTAAATGAAGCAATCTCGAACACATTTAACGATTTTCCTTCATAATAAACTTACATACATACGTTTTTTACTTGATTTGAGCATTTGGGTAATAATTATTTCTCATGTTTAAAATGCGCTTTCTTGGTCTCAGAATCGCTGCTGAATTACCAAAACTTTCTCTCGCGGACGACGTGGAGAAGGGCAACATCGAAGGAGTGCGCAACATTTTGAATTCTTCTTTGGCAAGCGATATCAACGCCGAAATTAAAAGGAAATTACTCCTGCATCAAGCAGTGACAAACAAAAATTTGCCCATATTAAATATTATTCTTAAATTCATTGATGAGAAAACTCTTTTCCTGAAGAACAGTGAAGGGAAGACTGCGCTGCATCTGGCTGTAGCAATAAAAAATCTACCTTGTTCATCTGTTATTATGAACGCCAATCACCAGACCTTGATCCAAAAAGACAGTGATGGTAACACTCCACTTCACTGCATGGTCAAGAGTCATCAATACGATATCTGTGCACGGGCAATGGATATAATCTCTTCGCAGCCACGTCAGTGGCGAGAATCATTAATCAACAGAACAAACGCCCAACATCAAACCGCCGTTCATTTGGCCGCACGGGAAAAAACATGTGAAATCTTGCAGCTATTGCTAGAGAACGGAGGTAAGGCGAACGTCACCACTCACAAATTTTTCACACCTCTGCACTTGGCGGCTGATAGTGGGTCAGAACAATGCGTACAACTTTTGCTGAGTTACATTCCTGAGGACGAGAAAGAATCTTATCTGAACTACACCGCAGGAAGGAATATGACTGCTCTCATGTATGCTGCAATGAAAGGATATTCTGCCTGCTGTCGAGCACTGATAGGCACCAACCCAAACCAACGAGACACTGATCAATGCACCGCGTTGCATTTGGCTGCCAAGAGGGGCTACTTTTCGCTTGTTAAACACCTTATTGAAGAACAAAAGGCAAATCCATTAATGGTCGCCAAGAATGGACAGACTCCGTTGCACTGTTCAATTTTAAGCAACAATGATGAGTGTTTTGTCTATCTGCTCAATCAATCGCTCGAGTCCCTCCCTCCAGGAACGGTGCCTGATTTGCTCAAATTAGCCGTTAAGAAAAATTCAAACAGGTGCCTTAAAATCATGCTGGACCGTGATAGTTTTGCCAGCTACATCAATCATCAATTTAAAGATGAATGCAATAACACTTTGCTTCATCTTTCTACGGCGAAAGGAAGCTTTCGAACAACCGAAATGCTCCTAGAGAAAAAAGCCAGGAAAGACATTAGGAACAACGACGATGAATACCCACTACATCTCATGGCGTCGCAGGTGAACTCTAATTCTCGGTTAGGGGAAGAAGAAAAAGCTGCTGTCGCTAAGGAAATGTTGCACGATTCTCACGAATTGGTGGACTCCCCGAACAAACGAGGCGATACCCCACTCCACTTGGCCGCAAAATCTGGAAATGTAGAAATGGTCAGGCTGCTACTTTTGAAAGGTCCCAAGATTCTCAAGGAGAATAATGATGGTCTCACAGCTGTGCACCTGGCAGCGGATGCCGGACACGGAGATTGCCTGAAGAAACTTCTTCGAGCGCTGAAGACAAGTGAAATGAAGGATCTAAATAAGACACTACCGCATCCCGTTCATATGGCAGCCGAAAAAGGACGCTATGAATGTTGCCAAATTTTGTACTTGGAGTTGAAGGTTAGTTGTGTTTGCTTTTGTTAATTAATATAGCAATCGGGACCGAAATGTCCACTGTCAACAAATATGTTCGGTGGCTTTAATTTGCGTATCTTTACTTGTATTACTATCCTAATTACCTCACCAAACTTGAAATTATTGATGAATCTTATGAAATATTTACTGTTTGATTGAATTTTTGAATGAATGGCATGTATTAATGAAAGAGATTGTAAGGCCTGTAGTATTTTCCCCACATGTTTGACAGTAGAGCCCATTAGGAACATGATAAAAGTTTATAGTGATGCAAATAACGGGATTTTAAACATTATAAGCGCGTTAGGTGGACGTTGATTGTCCCAAAACTTTTATTTTAAGAGATTATTGCTTCAGGTGTTGCAAATCATTTTAAAGAATACTTTGTAAAATTGGTGAAGAGTTTCTTAAGAAACTTTGTTAAGAATTTCACGTGTTTCTATTCTTCTTATACTTTTGTATTTCTGAAATTTTTGGGAAAAATACTGATTACATTCATTCAAAAAGTAATGCAAATCCCAGTAAATTGACGTCACTCAAAAGGTCAATGGTGATTTTAAATTGATATCTTGTAATTATTGATATGCTCGAAGACGCTGAGAATAATTATATAATTATTATTAAAGAGAATTGCTAGCTCGAAATTTACTAAAGAGATTAATTGCTCGCTCGAAATTTACTTTCTTATGTAAATCCAAAAATATTATGGGTTTATAATTCAGCAATGCTTAAAAAGAACGTTTCCTTTTTATTTAGAACCTCTTTTTCTCTTCAGCCGCATCTTTATGGGGCAAAGACGCGAACATTTTACTTTTAGCGCATTTTCTCATTTATGGAAAAAAGGCGCTATTGTGCTCGTCATGTCCGTCTGTCTGTCCGTGACTTCACGTTTTCGTCGACGAGAAAATGCGCGTTTTTTCACTCATTGCAGTGAGTACTGAGTTATATTTATTACAGATTGACTTTACTTTTGAAGTAAATCCGAAAAATGACCATTTTATAATTTGTCAATGCTTAAAAAAAAACGTGTCCTTTTTATTAAGAGCCTCTTGTTCTCTTCAGCCGCATCTTTATGGGGCAAAGACGCGAACATTTTAATTTTTAGCGCATTTTCTCATTTATGAAAAAAATGTGCTATTGTGCTGGTCGTGTCCGTCTGGCTGTCCGTGACTTCACGTTTTCGTCGACGAGAAAATGCGCGCTCTTTCACTCACTGCAGTGAGTACTGAGTTATATTTTTTACAGCTTGCCTTTACTTATGAAGTAAATCCGAAAAATGACCAGTTTATAATTTGCCAATGCTTAAAAAGAACGTGTCCTTTTTATTAAGAGCCTCTTGTTCTCTCCAGCCGCATCTTTATGGGGTAAAAAAGCGAACATTTTACTTTTTTTACAGGTTGACGGCGGTCCAAAGAAATGTCTTACCATCAGTGACGATGACCTCTACCCCATCGACAAAGCGCTAGCTGGCGATCATCACGAGCTCTTCAAATATTTTTTGAGCCACATGAGCTTCAACGCATCAGACGAACTCTTCGCCTGTCGCTTGCATCGCTACTTTAAAAAGAGTTTACAGGACGGCGTCATGTACGTACCATCCGTTAAACTTTATTCTATTTAAAGGAGTAGTAGACACAGAGTGTTTTCTTCTATTAATGGTAGTTTCATATAATTTTTCTTCCCCTTTGTTAGAAATCTGATACTTTGTTTAATATTACTATTATTATATTTTTATTATATCATTGATCTGCTCAAACTGCAAGTTTACCGAAAATTTAAAAGTAAATAAAACATCAAGCAAATTCAACATTTCTTCGTGAAACCCCTCCCTCATCAGTTCAAGTAAAAATATCCTCTGAGTTTAAAGCATTAAAGCATGTCAATCAACTGTCAAAATCCAAATTTACACAAAAAATGTCAAAACTTTGGTAACGAAATTTTAATATTATAAGAAGAGATTATCGTGGCATCACGTACAACAGAACTTCAAGGGCACGCTATATACCGAGTGGAACTAAGAATAAGTTTGCATTGCAAATGAACAAAAAGAAAAAGGAGACACAAAAAATAAGGGACAAATATGAATTGGATAGACAACGGATAAGAACGGCTATATTCAACATTCAAAGGCTCTCCGAAATAGTTCCGTCTCCAGGTGACTTTTTTGTTTCATTCTATATTCACGAATTTTTCATCATCATTCTGAGTCGGCTTGGGAATTCATTTAGTAACAACAGGTGTTGTTGGGTCGCCCTGCGGTGCATGCAATACTGAGGTTTAATACCTCGGAGAGGTTCAATTCGGTTTATCATACTGAATATGTTCCGTATTTTGATTCAGAGAAGTGGTAGTAGCGGTGATGGAGAGCGAGTGGTACGAGGTTGAACCACCTTCGGAAAGATTTAATTTGTGTTTATCATTCTAAATACTTTCTGTATTTTAATTCAGAGAAGAGGTAGTGGCTGTGATCGAGAGCGAGTGGTGCGAGGTTGAACTAGGTACCCTCGGAAACATTTAATTCGGTTTATCATTCTAAATATTTTCTGTATTTCGATTCAGAGATGTGGTAGTGGCGGTGATCGAGAGCGAGTGGTGCGAGGTTGCACTGGACGGGCGCTACTGCGACAACATTCACCAGCCGCTCAGCAACAGCCCAACAGAGGCCGAGCTGCACGAAAATGTCAAGCCCTGCAAATCCTTTATGCTGCTTATCCAAAAATATCCCGACCTGGCGTGTCAAGCGATGGATAAGCACATCACCTTCATGCCAAACTCTGTCGATGAAATCCATAATTTTACGCCGTTCGAGTACATATACTACAGCGTTGAAGGTAATAATGAGAAGACTGCATGTACTGGGGGTTTGGTAGATAGTTGACGTGGATAATATTTCTGAGGACTGCTTGAGTGTTTGCCCAAAATTTGACGTCTAAAATTAAAAAAATGTATGTTCATTGTTCTTTTCAGTCTATCCTTCATTTTGTGAAGGAAATGCTGCGAGATCAGATATGTGAAAGTTGCCGCCTTGGGCTTGCCTCTTGAGATGTAGTATGTTCGTGCTGGGGCAGTCAGCCCCATTTCTGAGCGAGACGTTGTTTTTGGGCGATGAATATATGCGCATCACCTACATTATTATATATTATTCCTTTATTTTTTCTTCAACAAATGCACAATTAACGTCGAAGATTCGATGGAATGGATCATTCGCAGTATCGTCACTGATACAATGGAATGGGGCTCATACAGTTGAAATTGGATTGGACTTGTTTTTTATCAAGTTTCTTTTCCAACAGATGGCAAGGTGGCATCCCCGTTCATTCTGCCTAAAATCTCCACAACCCCCTGCCCGGGGACTCCTGTTGCCCAAGGACGTTCCCCGACCGCGGTTTCCCCCAACACTTCGCTCCCTAAAGAACCTTTAACTTTGGATAGCGTTCGCCGGGGCACGGACCCCGCAATGGGGATACAGATAAAGCCATGTGAAGGGGAGTTGTATGCCGTCAAGCCCCACGCAAGGGTGTTCCGTGGCACGGCTTGGGGCAGAGACCACCCCCTGCGTGCTGCAGTGGCCGGTGGCAGCTACGATGTACTCAACCATAAACTCACGAGGTGATTCAAAACTCACGCGTGATTTAGTTTCGGCTCATGAATGTAGATGTCGTTTCGAAATCGCGGAACTGCCGATTTTATGGAATCGTCAGCCAGTTTGCCGATTCTGTTGAAACAGTATTTCTATGCTATACAAATCTGGGTCAGTCAGCCAAGTCCTATTTTAGTATTTAAATATAAAGGAATTTTACCTTTTTAATATTTAAATATAAGGGAACTTGACCTTTTTTACTTGACCTAACCTTTTCTAACTTTAACTGTCGATATATGTTCTAACTCTAACTCTAACGTCCGATTTTCTGAATCAGCAACGAAATGCTGGTTCTACAGAATTCGTAAACTGGTCATTCCGCGATTTCGGCACGACTTTTGCCAATTCCATATAATCGGCAATTCCGCGATTTCAGCACGACATATACGCACTCATGAAGTGTTTTATCCCTTGTCGCGAGGTTGATATCTGCGTGACGACTTGATTTATTCGACTTGAATAAGTTACTAACGTAAATTACAGTGGACAGACCAGCCGGTAAAGCGGGACGCAGACACGAGTCTAGTCCGGAGTACACAAGGAAGAAGGCTGGTCAATTTAAGAATTTTTTTTGCTTTTTTAAGGCCCATATATTTACCCTCTCATATGGGATCTCCCTATTTGTGGTTTGTCTGCTTTTCGCCATAAATTTTGATGAACGTTAATTATTAATTTGATAATTTAACATATAAATAATAATTTAACATTTAATATTACCATGATTCACGAATTATATCGACCATTATGTTGTGGTCCGCAAAACTCAGGGCATATACCATGGGTAAATGCAGTTCATGAATTGCGTCCAAGAAGAGTCAGTTTTCAATGAATATTTCAAACGGTAAAAAATTTTCAGTAATAAATTCATTGGAGCAGGTACAAAAATGTGATATTTGTCTAAAAAGTTTTTATAAATATTGTGAATAATCTATTGTTTATTTGTGTCAAATTGATTATTATTATAGCCATGATATTATGTGTTCATTTTTTTGTTTCGGGAAAAAAATTATCACTTGAATGTTATTTTAAATCCTTGAGTACAGAACATTGCTCCAAACTAGGTATTTCTCCACTAAAACTGAGCTCAGAATTGAGGAGCGTCCAGCTATTGTATTTGGTAGGATGCTTCTTTGATAATTTCCTATGAATGACTGACGATGTCATGTGCAGGACGTGGCTACACAACAAGTACCATTCGTACGCGCGTTATCTGCTGTACTTATACGTCTTCATCGATGTCATCACTGTGCTCGCGATGTCGGCTCTGCAAGCAAATCTTTGGTACGAGCATCCTACCTGCACTGTGCCTTCTGTCCAAAAATGAAATTGTAATTCAAACATGAATTTTATGAGGAAACTCCATGTATAATATTTTATTCAAGCGTCTTAACGAATACAATCTAGGCTTGTTTATGAGGGGACTCCATGCATAATATTTTATTCAAGCGTCTTTACGAATACAATCGAGGCTTGTGGGAAACGATATTTTAGATTAAGGTAAATAAGTTACTCCGAATCCTTCAAATAATTCACGTTGCTCTGAAATCGAGAGTGTAAGTTTGCATTAATTTTTACTTAATTATTTATAGCAGTGAATATAGTTTGGCTGTTATTCCATCTTAATTTTCGAATTCACTGAAATTCATTTTAATGATTATGCACTCATCAATGTACGAAATAATGACTTATCATTATGATCTGATATAGCCGTTGTAAAAATTTAATGGATTACAAATCCATTATATCTTTGCCTTAATGTTGCTGGTAATAACTTGAACGTTAATTACGGTATTTGTCATGTTATTTCCATGCCTCTTCCGGAATTTCAACGGTAAGCATGTGAACACCTACCTCTACCTTCTTGCTAGAGATTAACATTATCGAGAAACTATTTTCATTAAGTGAGAAATGTAAGCAGTAAATAAGTGAATCAATTTCCATATATTGCAGAAATTAAATGAATATTTTTTCAACTAAACTTTCATTTGTTAAGCATGCTTCTAACATAAGAGTTAGTCATAACTGTTCACTCATTCTGATGTCTTTTCAAAATTCACTCATTTTGATGTCTTAATATAATTGTGTACTGTTAAATTAGATGGCTCCTTCCTAGTTATTCGGCCGGCTAAACATATTTTATCACATATCCCATGTTAAGTTCTTCCTGGTTAAATTCTCCCAGGTCGTATCAAAATTCAACCTGTGAATAATTTAAGTTGGCCACCCTCAAAAGCTATTCATGATTAAGAAGGCGCTGATTTTTAGCGAATTTTCTCATTTATGGAAAAAATGCCCTATTGTGCTCGTCATGTACGTCCGTCTGTCCGTCCGTCCGTGACTTCATGTTTTCGTCAACGAGAAAATGCGCTCTCTGTCACCCACTACAATGAGTACTGAGTTATATTTTTTAATTGAACGCAACAACAATGATGATTAACCGCGCAGGACGACGCACCACCTGGAACGTCGCTTCTCCGGCACCACGCGCGCCCAGGTGGAGAGTGTGTACGCCTCAGACGCCAAGAAAGACGCCCGCCTCGCTATGATTATAAATATTTCCGCCACAGACCAGAACTGCTCGTCTTGGGGCAGCGTGAGCAGCGTAAACACGGGTGAGTGTTAGTAGCTGGGTTGCTGCCGAGCGTAGGTAGCCTGAACAATTGTGGGCGTCTGCAGGGGCAACGTAAACTCGGGTGAGTGTTGGTAGCTGGGTTGCTGCCGAGCGTAGGTAGCCTGACCACTTGTGGGCGTTTGCAACATGGGATGCCAGGGGTTGTATGCAATTGGGCATCTTACGTTTGTCAACACCTTGATGTTATTCTTATTGGCTTAGATCAATGTTCTAGCTGCTCTTTGAGGTGTAGTAGTAACTATATTTTGCGTGGTACGAAAGATATGTTGCGATTTCACTATTTTCAAACTGATTGGAATCCTTATACAATAGAAAAAGTAATAATTCATTTTAATTCGTTAATTTTTTCATCCATGTTAGGATTTATTTGCGTAGCAACAGTAAACTCTTTAAGCATTGGGTAACTGATTAAAAATAGAAATCAGCGGGATTCTTCAGTAGGTTTTAAAAAATAGGATGCCCAAAGACAGATTCAGAACCTGTGAGTATTAAACTGTTCCTATGTGTTCAGACAATACGGCAAGCGACGGAAGATCAAATGATTCACCAGCCCTCGTTATGAAAATAAAGTATTTAAATGGGACCTATTGCTTTTCTATGCGTTCAGACGATCCAGTAGAGGGTGGAGCGGCGTGGAACAAATCTTCCTGCGTCATCTGGCACCTGGAGGCTGGGTCACCGCTAGTGGTCGGCCTAGAGTGCTGGGTGCTGCTGATGCTGCTCGTACACTGCATCCTCGAGATTATCTTCTACATCCGCGTGAGATAATATATCACTGTACTTGATAATTTATCCGTTGAACTTTCAGCCTTACATCTCGCACGATACGAATGGAAATTTGTTCTTTATCTTTTAATGCGAAAGTAAATTATCACGATCGTGTGCCCGTTAGCGAGATGATTACTTTTTTCGGCTAAATCAACTGCTAAGTAATCAATTAGTGTATGTTAGACTAATTGGCCGGCCAATTGCTTGAATGAGTCAAGTTATTGCCCAGCAAATGATTGTAGTTCATAATCATCGCAAGATTCGCAAATCGACTGGTTGTATTCAATTTTTAATTTCATTCGATGGAGTTGAATACAATATAACTACATTTAAAGGTGATTGAAGTTAATCTAGAATTTTTTAATGAAAATCAAAACCATCTAGTCATGCTCGATTTTACTCGATGTTTTCGAGTTGATCGCAAAAAGTCTAAGCTGACTCGCTAAACAGCTGCATCGCGTGCCATTCTACTACAATTCTAGTCAGTCTGCTGACACGCTATCGACACATGATTAAAATCAGTTTTATGTTTCCACATTTTGTTCGTCGATAGCTTAATTCATTCAGAGGGGTCATTTAAGCATTTTTGTAAAGGTAATTATCAAACTGCATTTAATGAAGTATCCACATGAACTTTCATAGACTTCATGTGCATTAAACCTGAAGAAAACCTAGTTGCGGAAAGTCCCAACGACAATTGACTGATGGCATGCACAGAAGATATCAATCATGTATGAGCGAGCTCAGCCCATCATTGCACTTCATGGTTATATAGATATTATTATGTTCACACAGCTACCATGGAGGTACTGCAGTTCCTTCTGCGTAACGCGCCACCTGAGGATCATCTCTCTGTTCATTATGCTTCTCCCTCTTTCATCGTGCGACTTCATATTAGGATGCCGTCACGTAAGTACATCAATTACGGCGGACTCACTACAGAACTCAGTAGCCGACTTGCAGCATGCACAATTAGCTTAAAACTCAAGTTTTGATGTCATAAAGGACATAAATTATTTGTATTTTTGCAATAGTATTATTTGTATATAATAGTATTTTTGCAATAGTATTATTTGTATATAATAGTATTTTTGCAATAATATTATTTGTATTATGCAATCAAGGGAAATTCTTTAATTCTTCAAGTTAAATAATTCGAACATTTTTCAAGAAACTACTACAGTATAAAATATTTAACAATGCAATTTAAATTAAATACAGCGTTTCATTTCGTTTTCACATATTTTAGAAGCAAACCATACTAAATTAAAACTTTTAATGAAGAAACAGTTGTTTTTCCAAGATCGACACAATGCTCATATTGCATGAAGAGCTTCACGTAGTAGACTAAATTATCACCTGCTATAAAATTCTTATTTGTGCAGGAAATCATCTGGCAATTCGGCGTGATGGCGGTGCTTTTCGGTTGGCTGAATTTGATTGGAACTGTTAACCAAGTACCTAGCTTTTGTGTGTTCATGCCAGTGTCAGCGAAGTTTTTCATGAGCTACCTACTAGTTGTTTTTCATATTTTTCTATTCATTCTAGCATTTGCATTATCTTTCAACTTTTTGTTAATGGACAACGCTGCGTTCTGTTCGATTCCTCGTTCATTAATCAAAACCTTGGTGTGGATGCTCGGCGATTTAGGTTACGATGACACTTTTCTCGATGAGAAATCTCCAATAGTATTCGAAATTCAAGCCAACGTGTTGTTTGTGCTCTTCGTCACGGTGATCGGAGGACTTGCTTTCAACTTAGTCATGAGGAATCCAACTGATCAGCTACAAGACATGAAAGACAAAGCGGATTTCCACAAAGCCGAGTCCAGTCTTAACCTCCACCTCCTTATAGACGACTGTCTTCCTGATACTCGACGCTCACGCACGCGATCGCATCGCGTACGGTTGAGTTGCCGCTCTAAGCACGCTGTCTTCTACACGGACCGACGCAGGGATGAACTAAAGTCTCACAGAGAAGCCGAGACTGGAGAAGATGACCAGGAAAATCTTGTTTCTGGTATCAGAGATGATCTCAAGACCATTCTTGAAAGGATGGAAACACAAAGGGAAGAAATTTGCGATCTATCGCGCAAAGTTTCTTCCTTGACGAAAATGCTCCCTACAAACTCATGAGTTGAATCCTCCCCCATGAGTTTGCGTTTTAAATTGGCTATATAACTATCCGCATTCTCAGTTTGTCGATTAATGATCCATCAAAACCACTAATGATTATAATGATCGAATGTGCCATATTCGATCGAATTCCTATCTTTACATATACAGTATAGAGAAACTTCCCTGTCTATGGAAGCAAGATAATGTTGGTCTTAGAAACCCCAATGAAGAAAGTTTTCTAGTTATGCAAAATTATATGGCTGCGCAACGGGCTGTTATAAAGCCTCGAGAAATTCCAGTCATATCTGAGTACGATACATTTGCCACTCCCCGAAGATACATAAATTTTCCAAATCCTAGTCAATAAGTTCGCAGATTTATGCTGATAAAAACTTGGCATTCTTATTTATTAAAGTCAATATTGAAAAATGAATTACTAACTGTCGAATAAGAGAATCTCCAACCTTGCGGTAATTAATTTAATCTATAAAATGGTAGTCTGCGATAATTCAATCTTGCGAATTTGGTCTTGAACTAGTGTAATTTATTAATGTATTTATTAATATAGTGACAATAGCGGGACATTTGTACATGAACCGCGCTGTTTAAATATTTTTGTAGCATTGTTCAAGTATGCGTTATTGGTTACTTTTTAAATTGTTCGCTATTAATTTAAGCTCATCATTATAAAGTTTGATGTAAAAACCAAACGTTCTTCAGCATTATTAATTTTTTTAAGGCCTCGAGTGCTTGCACTTTCAATATAACAAATATGCGAGTGAATATTACATTTTAAGATAAAGTGAACCTTGTTATCATGTGCCAGTTTGTAAGATATATTCCGAATTCTGATAGTCAAGATCCTTATTACTTTCATTGTTATTATCACAAAGGAATAAAACCTTATTTTACATCACAACCATTCGGTAAGTCATGTGCTTCAACTAGGAACTATGATATTTTTCATGGTTTGAATGCTGTATATATAAGTGAATGTATATCATGTTTTGAATACTGTATGCTACTTAATATTAAATCAAGTTTACCGAAAAGTTCACTCGCCTCATAAGTGTTCTTTATGCATGTTGCATTATTTTTTTTTTTTGCCATATATTTCACTCTGTATTTTTATTACTTATTATTGTTATCATTTGTCATAATATTTCACTCTAACGCTTATCTTATTGCTTAATCACTATGATATATTTTATTATTAGACTAACGGTTAAACCACTTACGTAACTCTAACCCGAAAATTTGAAGTTGAGCATTTGCCAGTGATGGCAACCAAGTGTTGTGTTGATAAAGATCTTATGTACATATTTTTCTTAATTTGAATTGTTTCTTAGTCAAAGGATATTGTAAACATAATTAAATGTGATTGACAAATAAATTACTTCAACATTATTGCGTCCTTTTAATTATCGCTATCTAAAGAAAATATTCTAACTTAATAGCGGGATAAAATCACGAATTTTCGAGAATCAGGGTGCAATTGTATTTATTTCACTAGTTTAAAAAAAGTTATTTTAATCGAGTTTTCCACTTTGCATTGTTGGGACAAAATTGTCGCTACGTAAGAGTTGGGCACGAGGCACGTGACGTGCTAGGGATTGGCGCTCCCTCCCATTTCCATGCCAAGAATTTATTATTTTGCTTTGAATGTCGCAGCGTTTCTGTAACATTGCCTGAAATAATATTCACGAAACAATTACTCTGTTTTATTATTATTATTATATTATTATTATTATATTATATTATTCACGAAACAATTACTGGGCTCCTCTGCCGGGTGCTGGTGATTCCTGCTGCCGCATTACAACTTGAAGGTCCAAGAGGACACTCAAACAAACCTTGGGTGGTTTATTCCAGTAATTATTAATTATTATTGACTTCTTAATTATTTCATTGATACACTATCATATCACCTAGTGATTACAGTTCAGAATACCAAGATTGATGCAGTGAGTTGCGTGTTCGTGACCCGCATCGAGCTGTGAATGTTCTGCGATGTAAAGAATCGGCAACAGTTTTTATGGCACAATCAACACTAACACCGCTATACTACACTATTTGGCATTATATTCAATTATGACTTAATGTATTAATTCATCACCTCATAGCGATGGAAGTTATTCTAGAAACGTATCGAAAAAATTTATTCCCATAGGTGATAAATATGTAAGTAATTGTTAGGAAACTATACAACTTGTGATCGATATCTAAAATAAAGCTGGGTTCTTGAAGCAAAACTGGAGCAATTCTTGGGTGCCCTTAATTGAATATAATTAGTTGACATTAAAAATTTGAAATTCAATACAAAAATTTCTTCATGGAAGAATGAGTCGTGCAAAACTATTTGTTCAACATCATTTTTCTAAAAGCTTTACCGATAACACCTCATCAATTGGCTATTTGCCATATGATACTTGAAATTGCGATATATATCGTTTACTGCATCGTGTACCAATTCCCCTCAGGGGGGACTTCTGACGGGTGTCTGTGCCCGTCAGAAGTCCTATGGGATTTCGCGTTCCTAGGGGGATTGTTCCTGAGCGCCCCACCGCTGAGCTCGCGGTGTCTGACTGCAGGTCTCAGTTGTGGGGTTAAGTTATTATGTAGGTAGGATTCCTTACATTTCCCTTCTCTGTCTCTCTCGTGCGGGCGGCCGACGTCCCGTGTAAGCGACCTCTTGTTCGAGTGTCTTCGTTTCTATTGCTTTTTACCTGTCCCTCCTTGTCACTTCGTCTCTTTTGAGATGCTAACGCTGCTTCCTTCGAGCCAGCTTCAGCGGGTTGGACATCTGAGACCTTCCGCCCCCTGTGGGTGATGAATAATTGAGACCTTCCACCTTTATGGTGATGTTCATCTTGACTTTCGGTGCGAGATAGCTTAATAGCTGAAGCGCTAGTAAACATTTGGCCACTAAACTAACTAACTAACTCGTGTACCAATTATTTACCGACTATGATGAAATCACTGCAAATAAAATGTAAATTATTAACTCTTCATGAGTACATTTTGCCGGTTCTGTTGCAGACCGTCAAGTAATTCTTATTGAAAATTATTTTTATGTTCTCAATTTGGCGAATGAAACTTTTAGACTCTTGGTCTACTTTGCTGTACTGAAAAGAGCGATGAGAAAATGTTAAATAAGAATTGCCAACAAAACGAGCGTTAAAGTATAACTTCTACCGACTTTATCAATATTTAGTAAAAGTAGCTGCAAATATTGGTAGTATACATAAGCCCAGACATCGACAGTTCAACTATGTTTTGAAGATGCCATTCATGATTTGTATTCCTAGGCTTGACCGGTAAATTTTACCTCATTCAGCACTCACTTCTTTCGAGAAATCAGAGACATAAATAATAAAGCCGCCGATCATTTCGCACCCATATCTGTTTAAATTCAAAAACTATTCAAATTCAAATGGACTTTCACTCAAGAAATTTATACCTTACCATAATGTAGCTAGAGCTAATGTACTGTACATGGCCTCAGTATACTTTTATCCTTTCAATTATTCATTCTCATGAATGTTTGATTTTATCAGTCCTTTTAATTCATCACATTTTGCAGACATTTCGCCATGTCGGAGAGAACGCCACTAACATCAAATGACGCAGAGGAAGATGAGTCAGTATAATTTATCATGTTATATATATTATCTTGCGTATTAGACATGCGTGATTTTGGAATATTAAGGCCTGAAAATTCGCGTGAATGAAATTCCACCATTTTATTGTGACTGCTGATGCATATTAAGGTTTAAAATGTGTTCTTTTTTTGGTTTAATTTCAGAGCTCAACGCGGTAACGAAATGGATATCGATAAAGCCATTGTAAGCGGCAACGTGGAGGAAGTGGAAAGACTTATTACTGAAAGCTCCGACCCAGACTCAATGATCAGAGACAAAAAATTGCTTCACAAAACTTTATCGTTTGGGAAGCGAAAGCTTTTCGTAGTCCTGAATGTTCTGTTAAAGCATGCTTCGCTGGAAACTCTCAAACAGATATACGAAAACGATAAAACAGTTCTTCACATTGCTGTAGAAAAAGGCCACGATCGCTGCTGCGAATCAATTCTCAAGAAAAACAAGGCCATGCTTACTTCTGTAGATAAAGAAGGTGATACACCTCTCCATTACGCTGCTAAACTTGGTCAGACGAAGGTATGTATGAAAATACGTGCATATTTAACTCCAGAAGTCATCAACCAACAAAATGCAAAGAACTTTACCTCACTACACTTTGCAGCGCGAGAAAAAAGGCATGATATTATGAAGATCTTATTGGAAAAAGGGGGAGATCCGAGAATGACCACTGAGCAAGGCTATACCCCACTTCATTTTGCCGCTCGTTGCGGATCACTGGACTGCGTCACTCAGCTGCTCGCGACTCAAACCTGTTCCGAAGACGAAAAGGAATACGTAAACATGCAGACTGAACAACTAAAGACTGCTTTGATGTTCGCTGCGCAGTCCGGCTTCGCAACGATATGCAAGAAACTTTCTGCTACAGATGTCACAATTTCCGACGTTGGCGGAAAAACAGCTCTTCATTTTGCGGCAACCAAAGATTGCATTCCTGTGGTACAGTTTCTCGTTGATGAGCTAGGTGCTGATTGTTGCCAAGAAGACGACAAAAAGCAATGGCCCCTGGAGATTTCAGTGACCAAAAAAAATGATAAATGTTTCAATTTTTTCCTGCAAAAGATTCCTGCTGAAAAATTAGTTGACAATGTCATCGAGAAACTTCTTAAATTGGCTGCTGGCAGTTCACTAAAGTGTCTCCGACATATGGCTGAGCGGCAAAAATTTCATAGACATTTAGAAAATTTCAAAGATGACAAAAAAAATAACTTGTTACACCTCACAATTGCAAACAAGAGCTACGCTACAGCAAAGCAATTGCTGGAAAATGTTCCATTTGATAGGCTTGCGATTAATGAAGATGAAGAGACACCACTACACTTGTTGGCGAAGCAGTCCACAGCCTGCTTGAACTGCCACGAAGAAGATATACAGTGGGTAACTCGATATCTGTTGCGGAACGCACATGAAATAGTCAACTTGCCTAATAAAAAGGGGGAAACTCCTCTGCACTTGGCAGCTCAATCTGGAAATTTAGAAATTCTCAAATCGCTTCATCACAAAGACCCAGAAATCCTCAAAGCTTCTAAGCAAGGCCTAACCGCTCTCCATTACGCAGCCCAACAAGGTCACGCTGATTGTCTTAAATTGCTCCTCCGTTCTCTGAAAGCCGCCGATTTTGCGAAGCTACGTGAAATTCACATACACCCGTTGCATTTGGCATCAAAAAATGGACACTTAGAGTGTTGTAAACTGCTTACTAATTACACAGGGGTGAGTTTTGATCTGTAAATGTAAATAATCAAAAAGTTGTGTTCCTCTACTAATTGTGGATAATATGTGCATGTATCGTTTTTTTAATTACATGATTAGTTAGAAAACTCGCCTCTAAATCTCTTCCCTTCATAAGTCCATTATCTAGGGCAGGTTCCTGAAGGTTCATATTCTTATTTTTGTATTCATTGTTCAACAGAGTGAAGACGGCACAGATAAAACGCTATTTTCCCTCGACCAAGGCGGCAATTATCCCTTGGACCATGCGTTCAAAGGCAAGCATGCTGAGCTCTTCCATTTTATGCTCTGCAAAATGAAATTCAATAAGAAGCATGAAAAACTATCCGGCCGTTTGCACCACTACTTTGAAAAATGTTTACGAGCATCAGATAGGTGAGAAAACATAGTTCTGGTGATAAAAATTATTACATTTTTTTCCTCGAGGCTAAAGTTGAAAAATTGCTCGCCTCTTCCACAGGAAAATTTTAGAATGAAGGTGAGTAACAAGAATTTTGAACTTTCGTCGAGGACATCACTGCGTGTTCGAGGATATCACTGCCCCTCCCGATAATTAGTTCGTATTAATTTCCCTGGGAAATCAGGCTAAAAGCTATGGTAGTTTCTTATCAAAATTGAGCTGAAGACAAACTCTTCATAGTATTGAAGTAGCGTGCTAAAAAGCGGCAAGCCATCGAAACAATAGCCAAAATCTATTCGCCCAAAAGCAGCACTGAACTAACCCCTGCAGCCGTGTACCGTCACAATATTCACGAGCGACAGCCTTAAACTTCTTTCTATACAACAGTCACTCCTCACCTGGTGCTCTGCTCCGACCCCACATAACCTAACCTTAAACCAAACTCGAATAACCTAACCAAGGAGCCAACTCGAATAACCTAACCTAAGCAAAAGGGCCAACTCGCATACTTTGCGAGAATTTCACTCATCACTTTTTATTGATTAAATTGCACTTATTTTATCTAAATTCTTTGTAGTCTTTCTTCATTTTTATCGGTTTAGATTTTCATCATTTAAGCTTTAGGTACCTGCGTCTCGGAATCATTTACTCGGAATTAATCGGATCAACGGCTAAAAAAAATATCCCGAAAAAATGCTCATGAGACAAGAAAAAACCTGGAATAAAGATAAAAATAAGAAAGACTAAAGCTTATCGGAATAAAAATAAAGATCTATCTGTATCGGAATAAAAAAGGATTTCAATTCAATGAATTGTTACTGTTTGATACTCCGACTCTGTGTAGCCTCACTGGTGGAATGCAGTAGAAAGAAACCCTCATCATATCATCCTTTGTAAGATATGAAAAAATTCAGATGTAAAAAATGCCTGTAAAAAGTGCATATAACGTTTGATTTTCACAGAACTTGAACATCGAACACTTCGCTCTCCATTTTCATGCAACTCTCGGAGCACTGATGGGTTAATCCTTCCTCTTTCTCAAACCCAAGCAAGCCCCACGCATCTTCAACCAACCCAATCATGCGCTATACACTTTTGTCATCTCCAACTGTCTTTTCCATTTCTCATTTCCCATTATGGCCACTCAGTACCACCTAATGTTCTTCTTCACACTTTCCTAGTAGCACCGCATGCAACACCGGAAAGAAATTCTCATCCAGACTCGTGAGCGTGCATTTTCGTGCATGATATTCTGGAGTCTATATTCTAGACGTACTGCACCTAGAATGTTGACAATGATAATCTAAAACACCAAGCATCAAGAAGTATTGCTTCATTTTCAGGACCAAAGAGGATATGAAGAGAATAATTTCCTTTCGGAACATTTTCTAAACCACATCTAATGAGAATAAATCTTCGACATATATTGTATATCCATCCGATTTATGCTCATGGATTCTACGTCACGAATAAAGATTGCTTCCAACTTCACTATTGAAATAAAAACATCGTTAATCACGTTATTTTTATATGATCCAAATCCTTTAGAAGATGACTCTTATAAGTTTGAATTAATGAGTGTCATTTTTATACATGAGATCAAATAGCAACGTACAGCAACAAAAAATACATACTAGTTCATGCCTCGAATGGATATCTGTACAGGAACTAGTCAGGCTCGTGCTCAAATTTCCAGCTAACTTCCACAGGCTAAAACATTTACTACGAGTGCCGAAAAGCTGGATGGCGAAAGCTGGCCGGCTCGACACTGGACTTGAATACACAGTGAAATCTGATCAGCATTCTCACGTCTCAGATAAAACCCCAGCTCATACTAAAAATTACACTATATATATATATATATATATATATATATATATATATATATATATATATATATATATATATATATATATATATATATATATATATATATATATATATAAATCACAATCAATATCTATATATACATAGGCTAAACATCGCACGGTTGCAAGTATGGTGTTCTGCAATGAATGGGTTGGGAATTGTTATTGGCTTGGTGGCTCGCTGCCGAAAGAAATTTGTGCCTGTGGCTTATCCAAGATAATCACAGACTACGTTCATTGCTAATATGCCTTCCACGGAAAGGAATTTTCGGTTATTGTTTAGTTGGGCAGCCCGGGTCCAATCAAAAGTTCACTCAGATTTATCACGTCGAAAGTCACTAAATTAGATTTTTAACATTTTGAGTTTGCAACTTGTCTAAATGAAAAGATTTTTTCATTGTCTACAATGTATTATAATTTATATAGACGAAGAGATTCAGGTGAAATTATTCAAAATTGTGATTTTTAAACACGAAATATTTTGTATACAGGAATAGTCAATAAAATCTTAATTTACGTAACTATACCGTACAGAATAAGTAGTTCCGCCTTCATGCTCCCTTAATCATTGAAGTAGCTGAAAGGTATATGGAAAGATTGAAACTTGATATTTACTATTCTTACTAAGCTTATGCTTTTCATGATGAAAGTTCATACTTAATGTTGTGTTTCCTTTCGCGTTTTTCTCATCAGGCGGCCTTGGCGCGAAGCAGTGTCACCCGAGACAGACTCTTCCTTCAACGTTGCCGTGTTGACGGCAGTGATCGAGAGCGAGTGGTGTGAGGTTGCGCTGGATGGGAGCTACTGCAGTAACATTCGTCAGCCACACGGCGACGGCAAAAAAAGAGACAGAACTGCAAGACAAAATCATGCCCTGCAAGTCCTTTGCGCTGCTTATCAAAAATTATCCTGAACTGGCGTGTCGTGCAATGGATAAGCACATCACCGTCATGCCAAACTCCGACCAAGAAATCCATAATTATACACCGTTGGAGTTTATTTACTATTGCATTGAAGGTTTGTGTATTATACTAAGAATGTGCAAATTAAAATAACATAACTTATTTAAGCGAACAACTTATTCTTAACTAGGAAATAACAACCTTCGGACGCGCGTTGCATCGCATATACTCCTCTTGCAGCTTCTTGCCAGTCCCACACAACCTATTACTCTCCTATTGCTCTAACCTTCAGTACATGAAGAACGTACTAAGCCTCCTCTCTGCTTTCTTTTAAAATATAGCATTTAGAGATTTGATAACTGATATGGAACCTCCATTAACAACAAAACATTTTTAAAGTAAAGGGCTTGTTTTTGGAGTGAGTAAATTTTAATTACGCCACATTGGCTGCGCATAGGTGTGTGCCATTTGGCTTCATCTGTCGGGAAGCCACAGACATCTTTACGGAACCATCCGATCAAATCTTTATATTTTTATGTGATTTTGAAATGCCTCCATCTATTGAGAATCCCTCCAACTCCTAAGTGCGTGCGCTTTTCTTTACTCAAAGCTTCGAATCGCCAAATCTATAAAGTGTATGGTGAAAACGTTACGAGTGATGTAATGGGTTATGGCCTCCGACGATGAATGAGCAAACTTTTATGATGATCGAAATGGGAGACTTTCAGTCATTACCAATGATGCGAATAAAAATTGTACTGTAAATTGTACTCTAGAGAAAAGACCATTAACGAGCTTTTTAGTATTGGATGACAGGACTTCCAATCTTTTGTGATTGCGTAACCACTTGGAGGTCACATGCATTCTCCGCGTGATACAAGTTAACACAGCGTACACAATGATACTGAATTTTATTCGATAACATATATTTTTAGTTGCATTTTATATTATTTAATGGGCTACTAATTATTGCAATATTTCTCTCAATGGCTAAGATTCTTATTCTCATTCTTTTCAGATGGAAAGAGGGTGTCTCCATTTCAGCAAGTAGCACCGAGTGTCGACCTGCTAGCGAACAACCGCCCTTCCTCAAAATCCAATAACAGAAAAGTCTCTGTACGCTCAAACGCTGCAAATTCTGCTTCATCTGACAAAAGAGATAATTCTCGTGGTAGCCAAATTACTGGATTGAACACTGCTGTTTCGAGTGCTGCTCAGCCGAATAAGGCTGATGAAAACCTAAAAAAACGCCTAAACCTGCTAAAAGCGCCTAAACCTGCTACTTCAAAAACTTCTGGGACCAACACCGCAGTGCACAGCGTTACACAAGAGAGTGCGAACATTACCAGCGGGTCGCCATCATGCAGCTCTAACATGCAACAACCTACATCGCACACCACTATCAACATTGAATCTCAAGCCACGACTTCTGCTGCTGTGAACTCTGCCTCAACCATAGGCATGAGTGGCCAACCTAATAAGTCTGGCCACTGGTGGCTATTTGGCTGGCGATTAGGCCAGCCTAATAAGGCTGGGCCTAAACCTGCTACTTCAAGCACTTCTGGGACCAACACCGCAGTGTACAGCGTTACACAAGGGAGTGCAACCATTACCAGCGGGTCGCCATCATGCAGCACTAACTTGCAACAAGCTCCAGCCACTGTCAACACTGAACCTCAAGCCACGACTTCTGCTGCTGTGAACTCTGCCCCAACCATAGGTACCAGTAACCACACAGAATCTTCATCGGTGAAGAGCAACGCTCAAGAGTTCAAGGACATATCTTGGTACAAAGATCATCCTTTTCAAGAAGCTGTTGCTGCTAAACATCGTCAAGTTCTGCATCACAAATACACCAAGTAAATAATTTCAACGTTGCAATATTATTTGTTGTTCGCATATTATCTAATTCCTTATTTAAATGGCACTGGAAAAAAATAGTTAAGAATGTATAAATAATATCTTCGTTGAAAGAAAATCTTACGAAGTACTTTATTTGAGCTCTTTTACATCTTATAGGCTGATGTTTGATGATAGTATAGTATCAATAATAGTATAGTAGTATATCAATGGTATGAATTTCCTGAAAAACCGAAACTAATCCCAAGGTATTTTTATTTAATTCAAGAAAGAAAAATTCGCTATCCCTCAGGACGCCAATTTTTGAACTTAGAATTACTAACTAAATTCGTGTACACTCCAAAATTTATCATTTTCATGCATCTAATAGATTGACTCTCAACAATGTTTTGTAATTGATTGTGTGGGCTCCAAAGGGGTTACTTCAACCAATAGTTGCAAACTTCCTTTGAAAGCGAATATAATAGGAAACTGTTGAACTAATATTTACCCATTTACGAGTATTCCGATTTTTTTCCATTCCAGATCTTGGCTGCTGTATAAATTCTCCTATGCTCGGTGGATCTTAATTCCATACCTCATCCTGGACCTGGTCACTGCCGTCTCTGTGTTCTTCCTTCAGTTGCTCCTCTGGTACGTGGTTGTTGTTGTAATAGCCCATCCTGGCAGTGGCGACCAGGGAGGGGAGGTGATAGGTCAGTTTTTCCGGGCACTCGGTGCCACTGGTAGTTCCACGACCATCACTGGCTCGCTGACCCGCCAGAACCATTTCGTTGCATTACACAACACCCTGGACAAGCCAGGTACTCATTTATCAACCAGAGTTGGATGAAATGGCTGAGTTGACCATGAGCTGAGCTTCCCGGTAGAACTTGTCCTCAGTGGGACTCGAACTCTGGTACGTAGTAGTATAGGGGAGTTGTTAAGCAGTGATAATAATGGTTGTCTAGTTGGAAGACTCTGTTCATGTATGTAGTTATATACGGTGACGGTAATGACATTTTTATCATAAGATTAGGTTGTGGAAGTTGTTACATGGTGATGACATTCTAGTCGTGTGAGTCGGTGGTAGGAGTAGTTATATGGTGGTAATGACATTCTGGCCGTGAAACTCGGTTGTGGAGGTAGGCGTACGGTGAAAATAATGATTTTCTGGCAAGTATCATGGCGTTGTTCAATTATATTTATACCAACCAACCAAAATTTCGCCGATGTCATCACACTTCCTTGAAAATTTTGAATACATTACAGGCCACATATATATCAAATCTGTTTAATAATTTCACGCTAACGTTGATGAACTTTCTGAGAATTACGAGTCGAATTATAATTTAATCCAGATATTCTGCATGAATTTGCTTTAATTGTATACCAAGCCTAGCTGGCATTAAATATTTCAGCAAAAGCAATTATTTTTACAGGAACACACATGATATCGAAGACGTTTTCAGCGGGGCTACGTGGGCCCAGGTGACTGAGGTCTACCCAAATCTCTGGTCTGAGAACAGCGACGTGCAGACTGTCATGGAAGACGTGCAAGCCATTGCCGCATCAGACCCTCACTGCTCTTCCTGGGGGTCTAGTAAGTCCCAAGCAATACTATTACAATGAGAAATAGTAAGTCCTATTGCCCCTTATAGGTATGTAGAGTGCATACAATTGATCTCCTGTTTTATGCAGTGCATGCAATTGATCTGTTTTATGCAGCGCATGCAATTGATCTCCTGTTTTATGCAGCGCATGCAATTGATCTCCTGTTTTATGCAGTGCATGCAATTGATCTCCTGCATGCAAATTATCCTGTTCCTGATTACCCACCGCTGAGTTGGCTTTATCTGTCTACGGGTTTCGGTTGCGGGGTCAAGTTGGTATGTAGGTAGGATTCCTTGCATTTCTCTGTCTCTCTCGTTCTTGCATTTCTCTGTCTCTTCGTCTCTTCGAGATGACAACGCTGCTTCACTTGAGACTTTCGGCTCATTGTGGGTGACAAACGATTTTTTATTTGAGAAACTTTCGATAACTGAGCCTTCCACCTCATTGGTGATGTTCATCTTGACTTCCGGTGCGAGATAGCTAAATAGCTTAAGCGCTAGTAAACTTGTATCCATTAAACCAACTACCGCTTTTAGCAGACGTCGCTGCTTTGAGAAATTACTCTTCCTGAATTCCACTTTCGCTCAGGGAAGTTTCGGTCGAAGTGTTTGCAAGACACTTCGGCCTAAATCTGAGTCGCAAATAGAGGCCTCGTTTATGATTTTAAATTTTAAAACAAACATCTATTAGTTTCACGCTTCTCGCGTGCATTTACTTCACAGCTTCATTCTTATTTGACTTGATAGCTTTTATGTTTATAGCTAAATTTCTGTTACGTTGTTTGATTATGTTGCAGAGAACGCATCTTCCGAAGACATCCTCATGGAGGTCGGGACGTCGTCCTGGAACCGTTCGGTTTGTGCCGTTTTCCACATGGAAAAAAAGTCCTCCGTAGTCGTAGGCATGAAAGTATGGATGGTCATCCTTTTTCTAGTTCATCTCTTCATAGAATTATTCTAC